TATATATATATATATATATATATATATATATATATTTTTCTTGTGTGTGAAGTGTTAAAATAAATGTTTTTATCACCTAAAAATGAAATAATATATATTATTTAAAATAGACATGTAAATAAATAAATTATTTACTGAATTTAATGATATAAAAATATTAAAAATTTTTTACCATTGCAATGTGAACAAACAAAATTTTTCATTTCATTATTTTTTGTTTTCATACATATAAAAGGATTAGAAATAATTTGTTTTTCGTGAAAACTTATTCTTTTGAAAATTTAGAATTTATTTTTACGTTTTATATGTATTTTTATTAATGTATTTTTTTTTCTCTCTCTTCTTATATATATTTAATATTTTTTTTTTTTGACATTAAGAAATTTTGATTATTTACATTATTTATATTATTTTGAACAGGAACTGAAAAAAAAATCCTATATATTTATTTATATATATATATTTATATATATATAATTATATATTTATATAATTTATTTAAAATTTACAATTTTTTTTTTTTATATTAATTTTCATATTTTATATGTTTTCCTTTCTTTTAAGCTTTAAAAAATTTTCAATATAAAATTTTTTTTTAACAATTTTTTTATATGAAAGAAAAATTTAAAAAAAAAATTATAAATAATTAAATTAATAAATTTATATATATATATATATATATATATATATATATATATATGTGTAGAAATTTGTGTGTGTGTGTGTTGTGTGTTTGTGTGTGTTTTTTTTTTTATTTTCAAAATTCTTTTTGAATTTTTTTTAAAATCTATTTAGAATTTTTAACATTTTTCGATTAAACTCTGATATTTTTAACTATTTATTTTTTAAAAAAAGTTTTCTTTTCAATCAATAGGAAAAAAGATAAAATTGTTTGAAAAAAAAAAATTAAAAAAAAATATTCTTTGAACGGAATAGACTTTTATATTTTTTTGTTATTTTAGTTTTTTATTTCTTTTTACTCTCAGTAAACCCTTTTGCCTTAGTGGAATTTATCGAAAATATATAGATTAAAATGATTTTAGTGAATTATCCATGTTTGAATAGATTCCCAATTTATTTCTAATAAAAATTAACAGGTCGGACGACAAAATAAATAAAATCCAAAATGGAATATATCAACTCAATTCATTTCAAAAAAAAAAACAAATCCATTCAACTCTTTTGAATTTATAAAAATTAAATATATTATATATATATATATATATATATATATATATATATATATATATATATATATATATATCATTTTATTTTTTTTGAAGTTTTCTTTGATGTGATCCGGCGTTTTTTAAAGGACTGTGGTGAAATAAATTATTATAATGATACCTTAAAAATGGTTTTTGTTTTTTTATTAAATTTATATATATATATATATATATATATATATTTATTTTAATTGAAATTGTATTATTTGTTTATAAAAAATTGGGGTCACCAACAATTAAAAATTTTAATTAAAAAAGTGCTAATACAAATCAGAGCGAATATAATTATTTATTTAAAAATTATAACATAAATATTTATAAAATCATAAAAAAAATAACCATTTTGTTTTTAAAAAATTTGGTGTCTTATCATTTGATGATGTTGAATATATATATATATATATATATATATATATATATATATATATTTTATTTATTTAACAATATTATAAGAAGAATGCATGTTTCAACGATTTTTTTGAATACTGATATTATATATATATATATATATATATTATGTATGTATTTTTGCTTGTGTGTGTGAGAGAATATAAATAAAAAAATTTTGAAATAAATATATTAAATGTGTGTTGTATGTTTTTCAATATTAAATTTGTGTGTGTGTGTTTTTGTGATTTAGAAAATATTCGTTTTTTTGTCAAATTAGAGTGTGTTGCCCAAAAAAAAAATTTGTTTAAAAACTTCCTTTTTTAAAGAATAAAAAAAATTGTAAGAGAGAGAGTGTATTTGCTAAAAGATTTTAAAAATTTTATGTTTTAGATAACTTAGTAAGTGTGTGTGTTTTTCAAGTGTGTGTGTGTGTGTGTGTGTGTATGTCAAATAATTTTGTTCCAAGGAGTTGACAATTACATTTAATTAGGTCTCTCCACTAAGTCAGTATATGTAAGGTTTAAAATGAATTTTTAAAAATGAAAAAGCTTTCTTGAAGCTTTTATTTTAGCTTTAATTGAAAGCTAAAGGATTAAAATTTATTATTTCCATTAAGCAAAATACTCTGTGGTATATTTCAAACAGAGATTATATTGATCGGAATCGATTTATTTTTCAGTAAAATTGAACAAAACGGCCATTTTTGACACATTTGTAACAAAAGTTAATTCTCGTTTTTAAAAATCTTGCAAAAATAAAATATGTATTTCTGAAGCGTTATTTGAGGAACATTAGCAAATTTAAAGTTAAATTAATCTGATTTGAAACAAATGTTACTTACTTATTGCATAAAATGTTGTATACAAGCATTTCTTATCCACGGGGTCTTGTTTTTCTGACGTGTTAATCGATTTATTGATAGCCGAATGATCGCCGAACATACTTAAGTATGGTAGAGCAGGCGATAAAATTTATATGAGGGTGTTTTCCTTTTAATGATAATGTTTATAAGTTATTATATCCATATTTAGAAATTCTGCACTTATATCACGCATACAAAAACAAATCGGATGTATTTTTTAAATATTCAGGCTCGTCAGATTGAAATAAGCTTTATAATATATGATTAGTAAATATAGTTTTACTTGATAACATTTTCTAAGAGTTATTACATTGAAAGTGAATTTTAAAATATTTATAAACTTTATAAATTATACAATTTAAAATTGTAAAAAATGAAAAATCTTGTAAAAATTAATTTTTCATTGAAAATGTTTTTTTTTCTTCAGACAATATTGTCTTTAATATATATATTATTCATAAAAGCAATTAAAAGTTTTTATAATTAAATAATGTCTTAGTTTTATTGCGTTTTTATTTTTCGATTCAGAACAGATTTTTGGTAAGACAGGGTTCAATTTTGGAAAAAAAATTCGTCAAAAAGTTCTACTTTTAACTAATGTTAGTCAGTTAAGTTCCATGCGTGATACACTCTTAGTCGATCATGTATCTTTCGATACATAACTGGGGAGGTAGATTTTTCTCGTAATAGGTTGACATTTCTTTCATTTATAGAACCCGGTCTGTCCTGTACCCATAGCTGGGGGTTGGGGAAGAGAATTCATACCTTTCCCAAGGAACGTAATGGATTCGACTGGAATTCGAACTCGGCTCTCCGATTCCTTAATCTGAGCCGCTATCCATTAATCCACCGCGTGTCCTCTTTAAACTAATATAGTCACTAAAAACTCTCACGTTGAATTTCTCAAGTGAGTGAAATTATTGTGTGTGTGTGTGGGGGTAACACACATGTAAAAAAATATATATTTTACCAAGACTATCTAATAAATATTTTTTTTTTGAAAATTTCATTAAAATCTGACAATTATTTGATTTTTGTAGGAATTTCCAAATTAATGTGTCTGTCACCGAAAAAAAAAGCTAAAATTTGCTATGCTCAAAGTACAGCCGCTGACGCAAGAAAAAGAATTTTTTTAATCAAAATTTCGAATGTCCTAAAAACAAAGTAAATAGAAATTAATTTAACATTCAAAATATGCTTTGATCTTTCCTCTTAATAATAACATAAAGATTTTGATGTTTTAAAACTATATTTTCATGACGCTTCGAGCATGTTTTCATCACGGTGTGCTGATTTTTTAGCGTTTTCGAGGAGGTCTCTGCTTTTAATGTTCTACCTTAGACAAAGTATTAAACATGTTAGATAAACCTTTAAATAAATAAATCTTCTTAACTAAGCTAGAAAATGAACCAGGGATTGTGTTGCGTCAATTTTCCAAATGGGGACGGCCAGTATGCCTTCCCTGAAAATCGGCATTCAAAATCATCATTTTTACCTGGACGCGAACTATCTCAGTCACAGAACAAGCCGAGAAGTGAAAATATTCAACATTTTCATGGAAAGCACTGTTTGCCTGTGTATGCCAAAAGAACAAAAAGAAAAAAAGATTGGGGGAGAAGAAGAAAGACAGTGTTAGAGTGTCATGTGAAACGAATTTGCAGGTTTTCTCTTGTATATAAGCATTTAAATCATAATGCGCGATAAAACTTCACACACACTTCTTACATATAAATTTTGGATAGTTACTTTAGTTAAAGAAGCAAACTTCTAAATAAAATTTAAAAGCAAAAAAAAAAAAAAAAAAAAAATGAAAATACAATACCGTATTTTTTTTATCCATTAATAATTTCTGTTTAGTGTAGTGACATCCTTAGAAATTAGAAAATATTATTTTTTATCGGATATCCGAGATGAGAATAAAGAATTATCATACGCGTTGGAATCGGCGAGTCTATGTTGTTTGTTTTTTTTCCAATTCGATATTTTTAAAAGTCACCCTCAAAAAATAACGAAGGTCACTGATGATCCCTTTTCAAAAAAAGCAATAAAAAGGAAAGGGTCTTTTTAAATCCACCAATGCATAGAGAACTGTACTGAGTGAGGTTTACCTTGTTGCTGTTAAGTCCATTGCAAGAGGTGAATAAAAGCTAAGTAAAAAAAAAAAAGAAAAAAAAAAGAAAAAAACAAACAAACGAAACGAAACAAAATACAAGATGATGATACTTTTCAAATGTTCCAGTTAAGTTAACAGCAAGATGATTTTTTTAGTCGGACACTTAGTTCGTTTTTATCCAATTGTTAGTTATTCGGATTCGTGTACAAGGCGTGTGTAGTAAACGGGTAACGTTGGGAAAGACTAAAAAAAGGAAAAAGTAATAAACAAAATAAAAAACGGAAAAAACAAAAAAACAAAACACTGGTAGCTTTTTTTTAGTGAAGTAAGTAAAAAGCTATCGTAAATTCGTGTTTACCGTTAACTCAACATTGTATCGCATGTTCCTTCATTCATCTGTTGTAGAAAAATGGAAAGCCAGATGATAAATAGTAAATACAATGATCAACTGACATTCTTTCTTTCTTTCTTTCTTTCTTTCTTTCTTTCTTTTTTACGACAACGGAAAGAAGGCCGTACAGAGCAAAGATGGCGTTAGCAGATCATTGTATTGAAACGACCGAGGAAAATATAATAAATAAAACAAAAAGAAAGAAAGAAAGAAGGAAGGGAACCAGCTGTTGATGTCCCGATTTACAATTACTACTGTTTTTCTGTAATAACTCCTTGTTATATTAAAGTGATAGCAATTTTGCAATATCTGGGGTTTCGATGCGAAGAGATATTTTTTTAATAAAGTAAATAAAATCAAGCAACATAAATAAATAAATAAATAAAAAAAAAACAAAAAAAAAACATGATGGACAAACCGAACGAAAGTCTTTCAAAATATTACGTGCCTTTTTTATTTTCCTGTTATTTGTTTTTTCAAACAGGGTGTACATCATCATCTTTTCACTCTCTCTCTCTCTCTCTCTCTCTCTCTCTCTCTCTCTCTCTCTCTCTCTCTGTGTGTGTTGTTGCGCGCGGAAATAGATAAAAATCCAAATTTGATTTCGAAGTTTTCCTATCTTTAAGAAAAAACAGCGTAGTAGGTTTCGATTAAAAACATTTACACACATTCACTGCTGGATACAAATTTACAAATCAACAAAGAACACTGTAGTGTATTGATTATATGTTTATTTTCACTTCGTTATTGCAAATTTAAATTCGTTGTTTTTGCACTTAATACGAGTAAAAAAAAGTAAAACAAAAAAGAAACCTAAGAAACAATGATTTAGTTACTAAATTCAGTTCAGTAAAGTAAAAATTAAAACTTGAGAAGTTACATCAAGTGAGTGAAAATCTGTTCCTATTTTTTTACGATATAGCAATAGTTATCGTTTCGATATAGCAATAAAAATAAATGCAATCAGAAAATCTATCTATCTATCTATCTATCTATCTATCTATCTATCTATCTATCTATCTATCTATCTATCTATCTATCTCGATCTCTTCATATCTATCTATCTATCTATCTATCTATCTATCTATCTATCTATCTATCTCTATCTCGATCACTTAATATCTATCTATCTATCTATCTATCTATCTATCTATCTATCTATCTATGTCTCTTCATATCTATCTGTCTATCTATCTATCTCGATCTCTTCATATCTATCTATGTCTCTTTATATCTATCTATCTATCTATCTATCTATCTATCTATTTATCTATCTATCTATCTATATCTATCTATCTATCTATCTATCTATCCTACACAGTATATATTTATCTTGATAACCTTTGATTCAATACTCTAATATTCTAACACCACCCACAGCAACTGTAAAATAATTTACAATTTGTAAGTTATTTTCGTATAGACAAAAGGAAAAAAAACTATTGTGTTCATTGTTAATGATTTGACTATAGGTAAAATATAAATTGAATGAAATGATTTTATTATACAAATGCACTAATAATCCGTTTGTAAACAAACTACAATAATTTACTTGCTTTGCGTAATTTAGTCCAAGTATAAAAGTCATTATTAATTTTTAACTCGTATTTGCGTCATCTTAATTTCAGTTGCTTTTTATCACATTTGCACGAACTAATACTTGATACTAAGATCATTTCAGTAAACAGAACATATTCGAAATGGCGACAGAATAAACCCTCGGTTCGATTCGAACTCGCATTCTTTCTGTCTCGGGCAGCAAAATGTAAAAGTTAAGTTTAAATAATTACATTTGATCATTTGCCGACCATAAATGTTTCGTCTATCCTCAATGACACATGGCCCAGTGGATAAAAGCGTTGGTTGAGATAATCCAGTGACTTGATCCAAAGAGTTGTGAGTTCAATACCTGACCACAGCAGAGGTGAACAAAATTTTGGAGAGTTGAGTTACTAAGGTAACTAGGGCAATCTACCCCGGCAGATCATCTGGAGAAGGCCGTGAATATGGCAACAAAGATGAGGACAACAGTTCAAACAATGTAAATAGTGTAAATTACAATACCTCATCTCAGAAATATAGACAGATATAAAAGTTCTTGTAGCTCAAGTGGTAGAACAGTTGTTTCGGGGGGAAAATAGGTTTAATTCTTTATTCTGCACTGAGACGAGACTTAAGTAGTTGCGACGAGAAAAAAACAGAAATTAAAACGAAATACGAATTAAAAATGAAGATTGGCGAGCGATGTTTCATCGTATAAAAATCCAAGATAATAGAAGTAATAACTAGACAGAAATGGTTTGAATAGTTGCAATGAAAAGCAACTGATGTTACAATGAAAGAAATAGGAGTCAAAAATTAATAATTGTTGACAATACTTAATCCAAATTCAATTTTCACTAATGCATATAGAATGACGGCCTGGGTGGCTGCAATGAAAAACAACTGAAATTAACTTGAAAGAAATATGAATCTCCATTCCTTATCAGTAACAAATCCTTTCTTATTTATTTTCAATGCATTTATATAATAACTCATTAGCAATGCATTAACATCATAGAAATAATTCTGTGAGTAATGCATACCTTAATTCCAGCTTTATTTTCCGGCTTACAAGACGCAATTTAAAAAAAAAAATACCCTAAAAAATAGGTGTGCGTCTTCCAAGACGAATGTAAGGCAACGCCTCGGCTCAAGTAAGCTTGGACGGTCACCTAATTGGCTTGACTGATAGGGACGTGGATTTGTATGTTGAGTCATTACACTATAATGTTAGCTATCTATCTAATTCATCCTTTTATATGACGTAAGCTCAGTACTTAGCTGTTACAAATATTTCCAAGACTATAAACCTTCCTGGAGCCGAGCCAGAAGCATAAACATGCTCTTTTTACTAGCAGCAGTGGGAGCCTTTCTGCTCTTGACTTTCTGTATGTCATTGCCATACAAAGAAAATCAGACGAGTGATTAATGTAAACAATACGTGGCGCCAGTATGTGAGGGATGCATGGTGAATGTGTTGTCGTATAAGAATGACGTTTTTTTCTTCGAAATTTATTGTAAGCCGGAAATACAGTAACAATTTCTTTCTTGATTTCTTTGTTTCTAACAACATTTTCCATTTCTTAATATTTTTTAAGTAATTGGAAGTCATTTTTCGCTGTTGTTAATACGCCTTCTGAATTCGGTGCCATATTCTTCGACCTCTTTTAAAAACACTTCGTAGATATTTAAAACTTCTGTATTTGCTTGATTCTGACATCTCCCATTTGTAGCAGACATCTTGACCTATTCCTCTTATAAACAACTATAAATTCTGTCATCTTACAACTGATGGCTAGTTTTTTTTCTCTCGCTTTCCTTTACTACAGGCGTCGGCAACCTTGGAGAGTTGAGTTAGTAAAGGGGAGATAATTGAAAATTGACATCCGGAAGAAGCATGGCATGTGGATCTAGAAGAATCTGCTCCGGTGGAAGAAATAAAGGCTTCGGTTCCAATCACCCGAAGAAGGCCGGAGTGTAGAACGGCCGAAACGTCGTGAATATGGTAACAAAGAACAGTTCGAACAATGTAAATAGTGCAAATAATTACAATATCTCGTCTAGGAAATATAGATAAATATAAAAGTTCCTGTAGCTCAAGCGGTAGAACAGCTGTTTCGGGGGAAAATATATTTATTCTTTTATTCTGCACTGAGACGGGACTGATGATGTTTTTTTCTTCATTAAGCAACAGAAAGCATCAACCGACTTACTTTTTAAAATTTTTTCAGTGTGCCAAAAGCATACGTATTTTTATACAAAGAGCAAGGTTCAATATACCTGTTCTACAATATATTTTATATACAGTGTAACCCGGATATAAGAGACCCTGATATAAGAGAAACCCGAATATAAGAGAGATTTTCTCTGGTCCCAAATTAGAGCCTGTGTTAATGTATATAAATTAGACCCGACCCGGATATAAGAGAAAATCTTCTCCGGTCCCGAATAATCTCTTATATCCGGGTTATTGTAGTAATGTATAGTATATATACTTTAGTATATATTAAAATTGAAACAGCTAAATATCTTCTTTGCATTGTAGTAGTTAATGCTTCGGACTTCGTGATGTCATTTGCGGCTGCGTGCCATTGGAAATTGCTTGACGTGCCACGCGTGACTCGTGTGCCGTAGAATGCCGACCCCTGTTTTACTGTTTTGTTTAGAAGTTTTAGCAGTTTTCTTTTTGTGTCTGCCATCAACACGGTGTCATATGCATCTTATGTTAAGATTGTATCCACCATTAATAAATCCTGGCAGGACTTTTAGTATTTTTAGAATTGCCTCGTTATTAGATAAAATAAAGCCAGTGGGAAGACGCCTTAACAATAACAACACATTTTATTCTCTAAGCAAACTAAATAGAAAGAATAGGAAAGTAGTGAATGAAGGGGTGCATCTAGAGATGTTCTTTTTTGCACCTACGTTGGTGCAAAAATACCTCTGAAAGATTGTGAGAGATTTACATTTTGAGAAGAATTCGGCAAACATGGGCATTCGTGCCCGTAAAAAAAATGGTGTTTCAAACGGACGGTTTTTCCATTGATATCGTCATTATTATTAACTACCTTCACTCCCCAGCAATGTTTATTGTTTTAAAAAGCGATGATTACAATTGTAATACAACGTAAACATATCAAAGTTGGTACCTCCAAAATTTTTCTAACGCGATGAAAAAAGCCCCGAAACTTAATAAAAACAAAGTTTTATCGTCAAAATCTTTGTTATTATTAAGAGGAAAGACCAAATTATTTTTTTATTATTTCATTAAATTTTTTAATTTTTTCTAGCACGTTTGAAACTTTGATTAAAAATTTTGTGTTTCTTGCATCAGCGGGTGAGCCAAAGATTAGTATGGCTAATGTTTTTGGCGTTAAAAACATTGTTTTGGAAATTCTTGTAAAAATCAAATAATTGTCGGATTTTATTTAAATTTTTCGAACTTATTTACAAATCAATGAAATGTTTTTTGAAATTTGTTTTTTTTTTTTAGAAAATTTTGGTAAAAATAATTTTTTTACATCCGTTCGATTACTTAATTTTTATGAAATTTTGAGAAATTAAAATTCCACCCTCTTCATATTTATATTAGTTAAAAGCAGGAGTCCTTGGCAAATTTAATTCATCAATTTGCTTTTGTCAAACAGAAACACCATTTACCGAAAATTTGCTCTGAATTGTAAAATAAAAAAATGCAATAAAACAATGACATTATATTAATTAGAAAAGCTTTTCATTGCTTTTATAGATAAAATATTAAGGGTAATATTGTCTTAAGAAAGAAATGTTTTCGATGAATAATGAATTTTTAAAAGATTTATTTTAATTTTTAAAATAGAAAAATTATTAAATTTTAAATATTTTAAAATTCTGTATTAATTTCAGCCTTTTTGATGATATTAATTTCAGCCTTTTAAATGATATTAATTTCAGCCTTTTAGATGATATTATTAAGTGAAAGCGATATTTACTAATCATAAATGGTAAAGTTTGATATAAATCATCAAACACCAATAATTTTCAAAAGATTTTGAATTTTTTTACATGTATAAAAACGTGCCGGTTTTTGTAAGTATGGGCGACTACACACGACATTATCAGAAAATAAGAACGATAACTTTGGTAAATCTAAAGCCATAATTTCTAAAATTCAATAAAGCATTAGATTTCGGATAATATTTTCGTGAATTTGTAAGATTAAAAAATTGATATAAAAATAGCTGTCACCTCATTTTCTTCAATTATGTTTAACAGATAAAGTCTCTGTATAAGAACTGTAGACATGTCATCATGTTTATCCTCCGATAATTCCATATAATTGATAATTATTAACTATTTTTATTCCCAAATTATCGTTATATTAAAAACAGACTCCTATAATTTTTCAGATATTTATTTGAAAGTTACTTTATTATTTCTAAAAGGCATTGCAAAGTCTTTCGAAACTTTCCTCCGTATCCTTTAATGAAAGTTTTTCATTCTTTTTGAAAACATTTGCAAGTTGAAATTTTGGAACCCATACATTTGCTAAATTATTTATATATAAATTATATATATATATATATATATATATGTGTGTGTGTGTGTGTGTGTGTGTGTGTGTGTGTGTGCGTGTGTGTGTGTGTATGTATATTTGACGCAGGTTCGAATCCTGCTGGAGAGTGCATATTTTTCTCTAAGATTTGTCGAAATATTTAGGCCGGTAGACAAAAATTTAAAGAAATATAATGTTTAATAAATAAATGGAGCGTATATCAAATAAGACTAAAAATATATATATATATATATATATATATATATATATAGTAATTTTTGATAAGTTGGTCAATAAAACAAAAGCTAAATCGGAAAATAAAAATGAAATCAGTACAAAAACATTTATTAATTTTTGGCCAGGTGGCAAAAATGAAGTTGAAATTGAGGTTCCAAGTTCGAAATTTTCAAACACGCCTGTGTTCTTCATCAGCGGATGTGAGAAATAAACAGAGTGACGGTGGAAACTATCCAACATTAGTTTTTTTTTTTTTTAAGGTGGGCAGAATCCGCTTGTAGGTGGAATTATTAGAAAAAAATCCGTACCCAGTTTGATTTCTCGCGTGCGAAACTTAATGTGAAAATAACCTCAGATTTAAAAATTGTGATTGGTGGTGGGTGGTAGGGGAGTGAGATGTTTGGACATTTTTTTATAATCATATATATATATATATATATCGAGACTTTTATCATACAGTCTCAGTTACGTATGTCTTGAGAATGTCTGATGACAGGATACCCAAGATCCAATGTACAGCCAGTTAGATCAGGGCTACAGGAATGTAGGACGCCCATGGCTAAGATACAAAGACAAGCTGAAAAGCAACTTGTCAGCAGTCAATATACCACATAACACCCTTGAGAGCGCTTAAACTTGGAGCAGGTAGAATGGAGATCAACGTGTTTTAGTGGACTCAGCAATTTTCAATCTGCTTGTCTGAATCATCTTCAAGAAGCGAGAGCAAGATCTAAAAGGTCAGCCAATCTAACAGTGATCTCATCTCACAATCCTCACACTTGCTCCATATGTGGCCTCCTTTGTAAATCACTAGCGGGTCTTAAATGCCACTTAAGATTATCGCACAAAATTTCATAACTGAATCAATAAGCTGTCAGATCCTCATACGTCGAAACCGACGGGAGAGTCCATTATATATATATATATATATATATATATATATATATATATATATATATATATATATATATATATTAATTCGGCCCAATGCAAAATGCGACAATGCCACTAAGACGCAAGCAGTTACTGGGAGTGAAAGAGAATGAATAGAATTTAGAATGAACGGGAAACCTAGTCCGAACGAGAGGTAAAAAACCTCTACTCCTGTTCAAAAGACCTGAGAGGTGTATATACACAAAGACGAATATAATAGATTTTCTAATATTCAGATAAACAAAGAAAATCTGAATATATCTAGCTGAAATAGAGACACTTCTAATATACCCGCTAGCCTTATGGCGTCAAAAACAATGTGTGCGTTTGTGCGTATATATGTGAAACCGTACACGTGACTTTGAAATGTGATAACTTTATTCCACGTGTTTGTTATTTATTCAACAGTATTTTTTTTATGCTTATTGATCTTTCTGTCTGAAACTGTTTATGTAAGTATTGTCATATCTATCCACCTATCACTGAAACCTACCGGAAATAATTTAGACATTTAATATTAACGTAAACGTTGCCTCCAGAAAGCAATAATGCCTTGACATTCGTCAAAGTAAGCCCCCCACCCCGCCGCCCATCTATCTATCTATCTATCTATCTATCTATCTATCTATTATCTATCTATCTATTGGATGGACCTTATCTCTTTATCTATCTATCTATCTATCTATCTATCTATCTATCTATCTATCTATCTTCGATATTCTTCATCTATCTATCTATCTATCTATCTATCTATCTATCTTCATCTAAATCTATGTCCAAACTGTTATCTATCTATCTATCTATCTTTCTATCGTTAAATCTAGATCTATCTATTTATCTATAATCTCGAAGTAGATTAATCTATCTATCTATCTATCTATCTTGGCTTATCTAACAAACAGCAGTCTATCTATCTATCTATTATATTAAAGATCTATCTCTTTAAAATAAGATCTGTTCTAGACCATTTGGCACCTTTATCTATTTCTCTATCTATCTATCTATCTATCTATCTATCTATCTATCTAAGACTTCGCTATCTATCTATCTATCTATCTATCTATCTATCTATCTATCTATCTATCTATTCATTGAAGCAGAAGATCCAAAGGAACTGAAACGGAAACAAGAACGGAAGCAGATGTTTGGGTTCATCTAACAAACAGCAGTCTGGGCGTTGGGAACGTTAAAGAGGTCAATGTATCTTTAGTCCCATTCGAAGTAGACCGTTTGGTACCTTATACCAGCGTCCCACCCGCTTTTCCAAATCCATCTTTACTATATATCATCTACTACTAAGGAGAGAAGCGATAGAGTCATACATTTCTCATGAATACTTTTGTTTTTAATCAAGTAAGGTGATAATGCCACTAAGACGCAAAGACTTACTGGAAGTGAAAGAGAATGAAAAAGACTTTGGAAAAAACCGGAAACCCAACCCTAAACAGGAAACAAGGGAGAAACCTCTACTCCCATTCAAAAAACCGTGAAAAGCTGCGAACCGAACGATAGGCCAACCTATCTACTCCTATTGAAGGAAATAATTTTTTAAACAATTCACCACAAGGAAGGCGATAATACCACTAAGACACAAAACGCTGCTGGGCATGAAACAGAATGTGAAGACTTTAGAAGGAATTGAAAACCCAATCCAAAACAGGAAAAAATAATAAACCTCTACTCCTGTTCAAAAGACTGGGGAGGAGTATGAACCGGGCGATAGGCGAACCAACCTACTTCTATTAAATTGTGCGAACATTTCAGCTCGACGCATAATTTTAACTCGACACATAACGGCTGGCTAATCGTTTTCCGAGCACACCCATCGGCTAAGGCATCTAGCCAATCCTTGTTTCAGACGCCCGGTCAGGTATATGTGTGTCTGTTCAACACCTACAGAGCCCAACTGTTGTTTATACGTTGCCTACCTAAGGCAATTTCGCCTTAGTTCGCTTCAAACGTATTCACTTGGAACCTTATCCCAGCGTCCTCCCTCCCACATTTCGAAACAGTTTGTAAAGCCATCTTTCGAGATCACCGTCCATTGTTTCGTTGCGTTCTCCTTAATTTCGTCTCCGGGGAAAAATCCAGAACTCGTAGGAAGCCAAGTCTGAACAAGTGAATGGGGAAGGGTTTAACTCAAAGGAGGGATGTGAATACTTTACATGAAGGAAGGTCGGATACTTTCCGGACAGTCTGGGGAATCAGCAGATTTTCTGCTAATTTACGCACTGTCGACCCACTGATTTCTTTCTATCTGCAAACATTTAAATTGTATCATTCATGTTAACCCCGAAAATCTTCTGAATACTTCGAAAATTTCCCGCGGACAAACAGATCTCTTTGCACGGTCATTGTGAATGCTATGGCCACACAGTACAAAAACTTAGTCTATGGCGCGTTAAGGTCGACTGAGTAATCGCAAGAGAGAGAGAGAAGAGAGAGAGAGAGAGAGAGAGAGAGTGCATGTGTGTGTCTGTGTGTGAGCGAGAAAGAGAGTGTGTCTTTATACATGCGCAATAAGGTCCCCTCTGGCTAGCAAGCAAAATTGCATCCAGAGCACGTAACCTGTTCCAGAGATATTCAAAATGGTTAGAAAATTTTCAGACACATTGTATCTATCTATATATCTCAATCTGTTTCTTTTCCAATCTATCTATCTATCTATCTATCTAACTAACCCAGTTTGCCTATCTTTCTTTCATCTAATTTATCTAACCCAGTTTGTTTTCTTTCTTACCCTTTCCTTTCTTTCTTTTCATCTATCTATCTATCTATCTATCTATCTATCTATCTATCTATCTATCTATCTATCTATCTTCATTGAAGCAGAAGATCCAAAGGAACTGAAATGGAACAACAACGGAAACAGATGTTTGGCTTCATCCAACACGCGGCAGACTGTCTGGTGTTGGGCGAGACTTTTCTCTCTTTTTTTTGGCTTTTTCTTGCAGTTTTTATTTCTATTTTCATCTTCCCTGCATCTTCTCTCTGTACTTGGGACTATCTCAGCTCGCCGCTGTATGCATGTGAAGGTATTTACAAGATACAAATTACCCAACCTTAATGTTGTGCTAACATAAATGACGTTATACCAATGCCTAAAAGAATTATGTAACATTCGCTGGAAAACACTCCTTGATACAAATGCTGACTAATCTCACATATTAGCCGAAGATACAACACCTCATTAATCTATCTATCTATCTATCTATCTATCTATCTATCTATCTCTCTCTCTCTCTCTCTCTATATATATATATATATATATATATATATATATTTATGTATCGTCATTCACAGACAGATTCTTTCGCTGTATTGCAGCTCATCAGTGTGGCTAAACATGCGATTGCCTCAAGCCAGGATCTAAACACCACTGATTTAGCATCAGTCGGAGATTTTACCCTTGGGTTATCAGCGATCGATTGAGAAGAAGGCTAATTCTTACGTACTTATTTTTGACCGAAAGGAAGAGCTTTGCAGTATTGTTAGTCATTGTTTACAAATTCGCGCTTTCTCCCAAGAGTGCTCGACCGGAATTAAATTTTCCGAAGGCATATATATTAATATCCACAGACAGACTGTATCACAGCTCATCAGTGTGGCTAGACATCCGATTGCCTCAAGCCGGGATCAAAACCCGATTGATTTGGCATCAGTCGGAGATTTTACCCCTGAGCTATCAGCGCCGGTAGAGTGGAAGGCGAATTTTTACGTACCTATTCTTCGAATAAATATACCAATGACCGAGAACAAAAAAATTCACGGAAAGCTTTGCAGTATATATATATATATATATATATATATATATATATATATATATATAATGTTAAATATAACAGACAATGAATGTCTATTATGTTTGATCATTAGCTGTTCTAACTTCGTATGATTATTTTAATTTCGGGCGAAAATAAAGACAAAAATTGTCCAACATTTGGATATTTTTTATTCATCTGGTTCTTGATTCAAGCTTTCGGCTCACATCAGCCATCTTCAGATCGGTTATACGGAAATTTTAACAAAAGTATTCAGCATCAAAGATGATATTTTGTTAATGCTGACATAGAAGATTGCTCTGCGACGATAACAATCTCAGAATAGCAGACTCAGGTCGTAAGATTATGATGCAGCTCTATGACGTCGTACCACGTGAGAGTGATATGTTATGGTAATTTACCCACGCACGCATGGACTCATCCAGCTATAAATAGGAGCAGGTACTGCCTTTTGGAGAGGGAAATTTCCAGCAGTCAGCTCTGACAGTCAGACCGAACATTATTGCTGTAGCACTCTCGTTTGTATATGTTTGTATTACTGTTTCTGTTAATATATTTCTTTAACTCAATTCCTCTATTTTGTATCTTTATTTCTGGCCCTGACAAGGCTACAACAATATGTGTGTGTGTGTGTGTGTGTGTGTGTGTGTGTGTGTGTGTGTGTGTGTGTGTGTGTGTATTTTTCTTCCAAACTTTGAACAATTGCTAATGGATTTTCCATTTTGTCTGATAAGGATTTTTCGTAATTTGGAAAAGTCGATAATTAAAATTAATTTACACAAAATATTTTTAATGGTATCTGCCTTAAATAATCTTTATTTCCTAAATGCAGTGTGTGTGTGTGTGTGTGTGTATAAGTGTGTGTGCGTGTGCGTGTGCGTGTTCAATGTTTTCACTATATGTATGGGGAAGTGTTGAGTGCATTGACAAAAGAGGTTATGTTGAAAATGAATCTTTATCATCAGGCGTGCGTATATATGAAGGCACTAAGATCTTCCAGTAGCATGCAAATCAATTGGACAAATGTCAAATATTACAATAAAATAAAAAAATAAAAAAAAAACGCTGTTTAAGATCGATTCTTGGTATCCCCTGGATACTCCACACACCAGACTCTGTAGTCCTCGAAAAGGCCAATGTAATCGGCATTGAAGCGTGCATTCATCGCTACAGGCTTCACTTGGTCGCCATTCGCCGTGACCACAGCAGAACACCAAGTAAACGATCTACGACGAGTTGCTCTAGGTCACTCGACCACAGAAACTGCTACTTGTGGCCGAAACTAGTGGAGGCTTACAATTCATGAAGACACTACACATTTTCTAAGAACATGCAATATGAATTTAATCGTGCTACTTGATTGGCATTTAGGTCCCACTCGTTGTAATAGCTAAATGCAACCGCCACTTCGACTCCAACATTTTCTTTTCTCGCACTTCCCGCCTGTGGAACACCCTTCTCTTTCCTTGCTCCACTGATAACTACAATCTTCAAAAATTTAAAAGCAACATCAATCGCCATCTTTTATCTTCTTGAATCCCGTTCATCTTTTATCCTTTCCTCATTCCTCCCTATTCTCAGTCCTTTCACTCCTTTTAACCCCTTGCATTGCTTTTATCTTATCTACAAATATCTTCATGGCATCTGCTCTGACAAGCTTTTTCCCCTAGTGACCTGATGACATGAATTTAAGTGTGTCACTAGATTGACACTTGGGTCCCACCCATTTACTGTCGATATAGCTAAATGCAACAGCCACTTTAATCCAACAATTTCTTTTCTCATGCTTCCCACCTGTGGATCTTCCTTCTGTTTACTTGCTTCCCTGATAACTACAATCTTCAAAAATTTTAAAGCAACATCAATCGCCATCTTCTATCTTCTTGAATCCCGTTCATTTTTTGTCTTTTCCTCGATCCTCTCTATTCTCAGTCTTTTCACTCACTTTCACTGTAACCGCCACCCCCTGCGTATTAATGGTTGTTTCGTTTTGCTTGGGATTAAATATTAAAAAAACAAAAAAAAAAAACAGAGTTGGGTAAATGTCAAACGTGCTGCTAGGAAAGGGGAAATCTTTGGTGCAGCAGTTCATTAATTTTCATATAATGAATGACTCTTAATGCAGGCGTCGTTAGTCACAAGAACAATTATATTAATAGACCTTCTATAAATTACGATCAGTTCTACGCTGGCAATAAATTAACATGGAGGGTGTATCAGAAAAAAAAATGTAGAGACTCTCCGGTTTCAACCGTCACATAAAAATCCGCAGGAAGAGGCTTTACAAAACAGCCAAGACCAATGTTACATAATAACTTAGTGTGTTACATCTGCAATAAGCTTTGTAAGCCACTTGCTTCGATTCAAGAGCCCTTGTCATTCTCACATTGAACAAAATTGACAGTGATGATCATACTCGTTTAACAACATCTATCTATCTATCTATCTATCTATCTATCTATCTATCTATCTTAGCCTACTCATATCTGTCTTAGTCTAGTCATATCTATCTATCTATCTATCTATCTATCTATCTTATCTATCTATCTATCTATCTATCTATCTATCTATCTATCTATCTATCTTAGCCTACTCATATCTGTTTTAGTCTAGTCATATCTCAGTCTACTCATATCTATCTATCTATCTATCTATCTATCTATCTATCTATCTATCTATCTATCTCCAGTATATATATATATATATATATATATATATATATATATATATATATATATATATATCTCAGTCTGCTCATATTTACATATCTATCTATCTATCTATTCTGTCTTAGTCTCCACATCTCTCTCTTTATAACTTGTGTAACATTCGATTAAGGTATGTCTAGATAGCATAACGGTCATTGGTGAGAAAAGTGGATTCGTCGTGCCAAGTTCAAATTTTTGCCTAATCTCTTTGCACTAAAGCTCTTGGAAAGAGTATTAATCCATTTCTTCCCAGCGATAGACTAAACAAATTAGTGGACCTGAACAACTTTGAATTCAAAATCGTAGAGTAGGCAACAGAAAATCACTCCATTCTATGTCCAAAGAAGTCATGGCAATTTAGAAATGATAAAGAGACCAGAATCTGTGGAGAGCCATGATCGCCTACGTCCTGAAGAAAAAGGGCATTAGAAAAACAGTCGATATCATATAAAATCGATCCCCTTAGTTAAGAAAAGAAAATGTATTATCCCGTGTCAATCTACTTTTTCAAGAATAGTTTATATTTACTTATGAGGGTAAAAATGTTTCTCTTGAGCAAAGATAATTTTTCAAAAGTAACTGAACAACTTATGAGTACTTTATTAGTACTTTATTAGTCTGTAGTTTTAAAACATGGATGGAGTTGTAATACAAGACAAACGCCCTCCAAGTGTATAAGCAATATCAGAATACATAGTAGATATACATGAATTATGTGTTTACTGCTGTTATGCTTCACTCCTGTTTTAGTTAGTAAAAATACAGCATATATTCATCCCAACAACAACATGAGACATTAATAATATCTCTATATATAAAGTTGTAGCCTCTATATGTCTGTTATCGAATTCCTCCTAGGGTTTGGGAGATAGAACCCCCCCCCCATAACCATCTTTATTCTGAAACTACATTACACAGGGTACTTGATAAGTATATTTCATTTTGATCAAAGGGAGGGGGCGGGGGACACAAGCCCCCATTGAAATTTTTTTACCTTTGATTTAAATTTAAATTTGAACAAGGGAATGACTCCTATCCAAAATATAGAAGGAGAAAGCCAGAAGATGGAGGTCACATCAGCAAGATCAAAATGAGACAATATGGATGTCAAGTTGAGCAAGAAATCACCACTCAGTAGGTAGTGCCTTACAATACATATTTGTTGCGACAATTCAACTGTCATATCAATGTTGAAATCTGCTCATCAATACATTCAATCAAGTATTGCATCAAATATATATCAAAGGGGTCAGACCAAGCTGATTTTGCACACCCCACCGAAATTTATTTTCCCTTGGATTGAAATTAAATTTAAATTCCAACAAGGGATTGACTCCTATTCAAAATATAGAAGGAGAAAGCCAAAAGATGGAGGTCACATCGGCATGATCATTGAGTAAGATTTAAATGCATCATTTGTCTCTACAAATTATAACAATGGTTTAAAATCAATCATCATTTTCTTACAAAATGTGTGACATGCAGCAAGGCACGGATAATTTGGTTAATATATATATATATATATATATATATATATATATATATATATATGAGCATGTGTGTGTATAACCAGAAGGATTTATTATCAGGATTTTGTTGTACAAGTTTAGTGGATATATGTAATTTATTGTGGTATGGTTGCAAATAGAATGTTTCTTGTTTGTGTTTATGTTGATGAATGAATAGATTATTTGGAAATGATAAGTCTATCAGTAAAAGGCAATATTAAACATGGGGAAGTGATATTTGGTTAAGTTGACTTATCCGTGGTCTTCATATCTGGAGCTGCTCAATTCTACGTGCCCTTCTTGCAACAGAACGACTGAAAAGGAGGCAGTCTCTAAAATTCCCGCCAATAGGACGTTTTCCTCTTTTCTATGGGAACATCAAACATGTAAGTAAAATGATTTTTTGGGACATACTAACGGAACGAAAATGATATCCCAGCTCTTTTCATCAGAGCTGTTATATTTTTTTAAAGTTTATACGACCACTAAGGTCATAATAAAGGGTTTTAAATTGAACCCTTTAAAATATCGGCTTATTATGCCTGATATTTAAAAATGTATAATTTTGGTCTACAAAACGCGAAGAGAACTTTCGCTCCGTTCTGTGGTTATCGGTCGTCATGGAAACTTTGATAAACCCTGCTGTGCTGTAACGCACTTTCTTGAATTGAGGGAGGAAGGGATGATGACGTCAGTCTCCATTCTGGCTAAAGGCGCTGATCAAAGCCCCCGGGCTGCTGCCAATATAAAAAAAAAACTCTTCGAAAGGCGCTAACTCGCTCTTTTATGAGCATCTCTAAGGCGTGGCTAAATTCAAACGAGTTAATTTGCATGTGTACGAGAAGACTTTTTTATGGACAAAATAAATAGATCAGATACCTTTTCTTTCCTTTTCCCGCTAGTATATAAAAAAGTCAACACTAAAGCAGACGATAATAAACGTCTGCGATAAAAAAATAATTTAACTATGACGTCTGCTAATATTTTGTGACTTGGATCCATTTTTTTACTTTTAAATAAAATACAGCGTATCTACAAAAGAAGTATACATACGAAATATTGACAAAATATGTTTTTTCATTATTTTAATTTCCAACACATTTATTCAAAGGAAAATTACCTAAGAACTGTACTAAGTTGTTTTACTTGTATTAGTATCTGCCACACAGAGTTTACCGACTATTTTGTGTTAGGAAGAATAACATGTTTTAGCCTTCCAGTAGTATACCGAGTACTAACATTAGCATTAGCGTAGCCATTAATGCACTAACACTGAATGCGAATATAGAAAGAAGAAATACGCGAGCGTAACAAACAAAACATTTAATAAGGCAAACAACTTACGTACATATATTCAAAAGATTTACATATGTCCCAAAACAAATGATTGTTCAATTTGTCCCAAAGGAACGAGGAGGTTTACAGAATGAGAACAAAGAAATAACATACCAACTTTATGGCCTTTGATCATCCGCGGATAAGTGAATAGAAAGTACGTTTTTCTTTCGTTAGGCCGTGCGCATGTTGACCAGTTTCCACGTATGTGGACACCCTGATGGCCAGGAAGGTAAAGAGGCCATTCCTCAAAAATGGAAGTAAAAACTAAAAAGGGACAGAAGAGTTCTCCTCTCTAAAGGGGCCGAACTCCCATGAGTTCAACCCAAGGGAAAACAACCATGGTCTCCCTACACTTGCAACGATGAAAGTGCCCTCCTCCTCCGTGATCAATACACGATTGCAATCAAGCAGGTACAGTCACACATACGCTTGCAGAGTTCGGTATCAATTTCTTCAAGTAATTTGCAAGTAATTTGAGCGTTCAATTTCTGAGGGTTTTCACGATAAACAATCTCTTTCATGAGCCCTAAAGAAATTTTGAGTCGTGAAATCCGCGATCCATGCGAGCTCTCAATTGAACCGAGCAGTTACGATCCACTTTTCTTGAATGTTGCCATCAAGCCACTGATGACTATGACGTCTGTATGGCGCAACAGGGCTTCAGAGAAATAACAGAAAGACAAAGTTAAATGGGAGCTAGAAGGGAGAGGAAGTTGTGGAGAACCATGCTCGTCTGAGTGGGGGACAAGGCACGTAAAGAAGAAGAATGATGTGGAGATCCACGTTGCTTGAAACAGCAGCCCTGATCTTGTATCTTGGGATTGAATCTTTTGACTTTTGAATCTTTTGACTTTTGAATCTTTTGACTTTTGACCTATCGAGTAGACACACTTAATTTTCAACGAGCATGTTGAATGCGATAGACAAGAGGTTTAAGAAATAAATTAAATTTTATATTTATTAGTGACGGTAATTAATATTGTTGTTGTTGTTGTTGTTCTTCTTCTTCTTTGGGACGAGTCCCTTCAGAACATAGGCCATCATGGCTCGCCACAACTTTCTGTCTCGTGTGACACAATTTTTTCTCCTTTTGTCAAAGCCTCCGCTCTCTTTCAGGATATAAGCGATCATGGCTCTCCACAACTTTCTATCTCATATGGCTCTTAGTAGCTTTTCTCTCTTTGTTAAGATCTCCACTCTCCTTCAGGATATAAGCGATCATGGCTCTCCACAGCTTTCTATTTCTTGTGGATCTTAACAGTTTTCACCACTTGCTAAGACTTTCACCCCCTTCTGGATATAAGCAATCATGGCTCTCCACAACTTTCTATCTTATATGGCTTTTAGCAGTTTTGTCCCTTTCCACCACCCCGCCAAATTTCTGCCATCCATTCACACAAATTCATCATGTAAGTGTCTCGTAGACGTCCCCTATCTCGCTTTCCCTAAATATGCCCCGTGAAGGTTAAGTTTTCCAAGCTTTCTTTCCTCATTATGCGTCCAAGGAATTTCAGCCTTTTCCGATTTTGAGTATAAGTGTTCTTTCTCTTGCCATTTTATTTAAGACTTCATTGTTGCTTATTCGCTCCATCCATAGAATTCTCAGTATCCTTCTGTAGAGCCACATTTTTGCTGCCTCTAGTTTTTCTCTCATCCTTGGGGAAATTGTCCCACATTCACTGCCATATAAGAGGATGGATACAACATAGGAATCTTTTACTTTGTTTCTAACGATATTTTTTCTGTTTCTCGGCACCTTGCTTAGCTTTTGGAAGGCATTTTTCGCGTGTTCGGATCTTGCTGTCGCATTTTTTATCCTCTGCTAAAATACTTCCCAGATATTTGATCTTCTTCACCTGATTGATGTTTATATCCCCAATTCATAACTCGCATCTTGGACCTTTTCTCCTTACTGAAGACCCCCTCCTTTCTGTATTTTTGATGGTTAGTCCTTTTTTCTCGCTTTCTTTTACCCTCATGTCTGGAGGTCCTGTAGTTTGCTTTCCGAGTCGGCCATCAGCACAGTGTCATCTGCGTACAGGGCCATAATATTTAATATTTGGCACCCCGTTAAAATCGCTCTCGTTGTATTGGCAAGAATTTACGAGGCGATCTTATAGTGGCCTGGGGCACGCAAGTGAATATAAAGGACCCGACTGAAATTCGAACTCGGCTCACCGATTTCCAATTACGTCACCTTCACATCCAAGTTTATAACACCTGGTATTCCCGAGCGGTCACCCATCGAGCTACTGATCAGGTTTTAACATTGCTTAACTTCAGTGATCGAATGAGAGTCAGTGTTTCAATGTGATATGTCCGTTAGCTGAATTTATATCAGTCATAGGCAAACTGAGGCCTGTTTGGGCTTCTGAATGCCGCACGTAATTTAAGGATGAAAATAACGTTTACTAAAATGTTGTGTTTTGTTTCATTCTCACTTGTTCCCTCACATTCTCTCTCACGCAAAAAGGTTGAGAGAAGCTGGTGTCAAAGGGAAATAACTATTAAATCCCTGAGTAACCTCCCTTTTAGATTGTCGGTACAGTTCGACTAAACCACATAGATAACAATGATGCGATGCTTCTTGAATGTTTTAACCTTTCCTTGAATGTAACGTGCCCAGCATTTTAAACCATTGGCGATTTCTAGTAAGGAAGATCATACGTGTCAAAATATTTTGCTTCAGAAACGAGAAACATTCATATCAATTTTTTTTCTGGAAAAGAAATCTATTTTTTCTTTAAAAAAATATTTTTTGCATTTTCAAACGAATACGTTAGAAACAAATCACACCCACCAGCATGTGTTAATCACAGTTATCATCAGTGATAATATTATAAGAAATCTTCATTTTTTAAATTGTAGAAAAAACTCTTTTCTCCAAATAAAGAATATCAACTTTTTCCCCATTTCTAAGGTAGATGCTTACGTGTATGATCTTCTGTAGAGAAAATGGCTGTTTTACTTTCAATGAAAAATTATTTTGAATTATTTATTACTACGGCTCGCGTTATGATGAGTCATCTCTCATGCGGCCCACTGATCGGAAAAGTTTATTCATGTAAACCAATTATGCGACCTCCTTAAAATTAGCTTCAAAATTAGGTCTTCAAAAGATGTGGTATATAGTTTTCAATGATCAAGCTCGCTTTCGCTTGTTTTTTTAATATGGTAGTTGCAGCAGGCGCCACAAAAGCGTTATTTGTTACCTCCTTTTGATATTTTTCACTATGTCATAAAGTCAGTTTACGAGACAGTAACAAACTTTTACCAAACTTTTGGCATGCTTTTGAATATTTACTATAAAGGTGTCCGGTGGAAAAAATTTTCCTTGTGAAAGTGGGTGATGGCGTAAAAAAGGTTGTGAACGCCTGTTCTACATGAAGAAAATCTGAATAAAACTTAGTATCCCGTCGCTTTAGAAGTCCGCGTTGCTTTATCCTCCAAATATTCTGCAAAAGATACTATCTATCTGAGGTTGTACGACTTGAGTAGAACACCCATAATGCAAGGTCTCTGGATGAAAACAAAAAATCGTGTCAGAGAAGACAAGATAATAATAATAATAATAATAATAATAATAATAATGTCGTTGGAGTAAAACCTATGGAATCTGACTAGGTAGAAGAGTAACTGTCTGAGGTAAAATTATAACTCGCGATAGTTGGTGTTGGGAATAAAATGAACCGAAAAGAGGCCTCCAACTTTGCATATCAAATGAATGTCGAATTTTAGCCATTTTTATCTGCCGGCAAATATGGTAGATTTGTACAGAGTAAAGCTGTTAACCCAATGTCTAACCCTTCTCTTTTATCGGGATTCGGGACTTTCTTTGAATTCATAGATGTCCATCCCAGTTTTCTCTGTTATTTTATTTATAGCTGTGGTATTCTACAAATTAAACAAGAATCCTTTACACTTTTCAATTTCAGAGTATACTACTTTAAAATCGCAGTTTGGCATTTTTTCAGATTTCTTCGTAATCATTACTTAAAATCAGAATCACAGAGTGCGCCATCGTCTGCCTATGAAGAATAAAATATAGTTGCAAAATATACAGGAATAAAAATAACGAAAAACAAAAGGAGAAGGAAAAACAAATCTTTTTCGCCAAATGTTTTCTGTCTGAAGCCGAGGCGTCTTTTGCAAATCTCTGGCTGCGTTCAAAAAAACGCTTTCTCGCGCACGCGCAGAGCGGTCATTTGATACTGAAATAAGGTTGAATGTGACGTCAGTACTGTTTGCTTTTAATTGAAGGTTGTTATATCATGCCACTGACGTCTCTTCCTCTTCCTTTTTCAAACTCGGCTTTATCATAGAAACAGCAGACAAGCAAACGTCTGCTCTAATGTTTATAAAAGTGCGGTTTGTTGTTTACCGAGCTTCATATAGCAAATATACTTTCCTCAAAGTTTCCAGTAGATTTATTAACCATGTGACTTACAATAGGAATTACCATATGAATTATGAATTACCATATAATTTAATATAATTTAACATATAAATTACCTTATGGATTACAATAGCACGCATATAGCCTATTTATATGTACGAGTTATGGTAATTCAATTTAATTCATTTTATGGTCATTTCTTTTTGCCAATATAATATAATTAAAATGCAGTCTTGAATTCCAAGTCCTGTAGTGCCACCCATGGCGGTAAGGTCGATGAGGAAAGACCAGACTGAACGCGACCAACCCCCGAAGACCCCCAACGACAGAACAGATGAAGATCTATAAGATCTCAACGTCCAAACCGGCGAAAGAGGGCAGGGTGAATCGGGCTGGCGTAACCAAAGCGGACCTTGACAGACCAAGCATAGGATAGCCCGATGCAACCAGATATCGCCTGTCCCGATCCTCTTTAAGCAGCGAGAGAGGCGCTTCTATCCAAGTGTGTCGGCTTTTCCATCGGGCATAGTATGTGGGTTATCCTCACTAGTAAGAAAAAAAAAACTGTCTCTAGAAGGGCGCTCTTTAAGCTTATAATAAAACGTGCTTTTTTTAAAAATTTAGTCTGTTTTCTCTTTTATAGCTTCTGTCTATAAGATGTAGTCCCACATGCGAAAAAGCGTCCTCCACTGGGGAACGATATCTAGTCACCCCCTCACGAGGGCATCATGTGGCACAAGGCCGGTTCAACGTGGGATCTCCGAGCCCGTGGGCTCGGCCAAAAATATGCCCTTTGAACCCGTATAAACGGGTTCAGGGTCGGTTTACCTCCCCGAAAGAGACTCCGCCCCTCGGCGTAGCCTCGTTCGGGTTCCTCCCCGCCCGAAGGCAGAGAGTTCAACCGATCAGTCGGTCAGCCGGTCGCCCGACTTCGGACTGAACTCAACTAGGGAACGTTAATTTTCATGGTTTTACTTTTCTCTGATGACTTTTGAACTCTTTCACACACGCGTCTATCACGTGGGCCTACATAAATTTCACACACACACACACACACACACACACGTACATTCTTCAGTTTAAATTTTTTCTAAGTCACTAGTCGTCAAATGTTTTCTTTTATTATAATTGCAATTCCTTTTTGTCAGTACATGAAGTTAGTGGTTTATTTCATATTGTTTTGCGTGACTCATTTTTTTTTTACCAGGACTCTCATTGAGTCCGGCAATATTGTTTGTGGGATAAATTTTCTCGGCGCCCGGAATTATTTACTCTCACGGTGACTAAATATTTACCCAGTCATACCAGCAATCCCGCAACATGTCCACCAAAAACAAATTCACGCGGATGGCCTCGTCAAACTCTCTTTGATTGACAGCCATCGCCACCAGGGGGGGGGGGAGAAAGCGAATAGGGAGAGTTCACGATCCCGATGATCGGATGCGAGTGGGTGCTGACGACGACGACGACGAAAATACAGAATAACGGAACGCGCCCCCCCCCAAAATAAAAGACTGAAAGGGGATTGGTACATTTTTTTAAATTTTAAATTGGGTACATTTTACTGAATATTTTAATTATCTCAACAAACAGAAATTGAAATTATTTTCTAAATAATAAGTATTTACAACAAGCCTGATTTCAAGAAACATATGAACCAATCAGATAACATTTTCATACTTTTTTCTATTCATACAGACATAATATACACAAAATAAATTATATTGATTGATTTTTAATAAAAAGAATTCCCCCTGTCTTTTTTTATAAATAATTTCATGGCAATTATTCTGACGACATTTTTCCCTGGTGCCCGGAATATATAAATTTAATCGTGCTACTAGATTGGCATCTAGGTCCCACCGTTTATTGTTGAAATAGCCAAATGCAACCGCCATTTTGACTCCAACAGTTTCTCTTCTTGCACTTCCCGCCAATGAAACTCTCTTCCATTTACTTGCTTCCCTGATAACTACAATCTTCAAAAGTTTAAATGAAACGACAATCGTCGTCATCTGTCTTCTTGAAACCCGTTCATTTTTTGTCCTTTCGTCAATCCTCCCTATTCTCAGTCTTCTCTCTTACTTTCAAAAATGTAACCTCCTGTGTCTACTAGTGGCATTTCCGCCCTGCTTCGTGCGAAATGATTAAAAAAAGAAAGAAAAAAAGAATAAAGTTATTAGGGTTTCATCGACTTTTATTAGTTCCTCAATTTTCATCAATTTTCATTTTTGCATGAATTTTTCTCAATATAATAGCAACACAAATCTTGACCGCCTGTATTTGCCTCTCTTTGTCTGTCTGTCTGTCTCTCTGTCTGTCTGTCTCTCTCTCTCTCTATATATATATATATACAGAGAGAGAGAGAGAGAGAGAGAGAGAGAGAGAGAGAGAGAGGCACAAAAAGTAATGGTTTGCAGCTTGGATTGAGGAATCGGAGAGCTTAGTTCGAATTCCAGTCGAATCCATTAGATTCAAAATACGTTCTAATACCCTTGGGAAAGGTGTGAATCCTCTTCTTCTCCCTCCAGCTATGGGTAAATAGCAGGACAGACTGGGTTCTATAGCCTTGGATAGCAACTGGTCTAGGAGAAGAAAACTCTGAATTCAAAACATGCGGAGGACCTTGTTTGGGGACCTTGTGGGTCTCAGTATTCGGCCCTTCAAAAAGTGTGGATGGTCTTGCACGAAACCTTTACCACTATAATCAAATCTCATCTGCTGTTGTCGGGCTGTCGGTTTCTAGGAACTGATCTGTTTGACCCTCATACGTCGAATTCGACGGGGAGAGTCTAATATATATGTATATATATATATATATATATATATATATTCGATTATCCCATATATATATATATATATATATATATATATATATATATATATATATATATATAAAATATCTCCACTACTTCGGCCAAAAAAT